CACAGAGAACGTGAGAGATTCATGGAGGATTGAAGTTTAAATATAGTAAATTCGACCTTGATAACCGGACGCTCCTCTGTGGCCAAATCGGTAAAGGCATGTCAAGCTAAACGACGGTTCCGTATTGGATACAGGTTAGAATCGTGTCGGAGGACGTATATTTTCTATGAAAATTTCTCGGACATTCAGGCCGGTAAATGTTGTTTAATACCGTTTATTATAAACAGAGCATTTACTTAAATATTTGTATCTATAAAAAGAATGTATAAACATAAAAAATGTCTTAAAAATAATTGTCGAACTTTGTCCATTTTATAATGTGTGACGCAATAATAATAATATATAATAATATATATATATATATATATATATATATATATATATATATATATATGATAACAAATCAGAATAATTTTACTGATTCCTCATGTGGGTTGAATGCCAGAATAGAGCATGTTTGTCAACATTATAACATCCGTGAAAGATTTATTAACCAAAATACGCATTGCAGTCTCTTTTTGGACTTTTGAACAAGAGTAGAAATGTATTCCTTGTTTCCTGTTTAAGATTCGGTTTCCGGTTCCTTCTACATTCTACTCCAACTCTATAACTCTGACGTTTCCGCCTGAACTCTGACATTTTATTCACTAATTATTTTTCCTCTCTCAATAGGAATATATAGCATTGGGTTTCGAGTGCCTTCTAATGTCTACCCATTCTAGAATTAACTGTTAGACTTCGCGCATAGCCGCATGAAATTCACTTCTTGTACATTCTGACGCTCATAGTCACACAGCAAACATCTAGAATTAGTGTCTCTCAGGCCCTGTATTGGTGAACATTAGTAGTACCCAAAGAAGCTGGAATCTGACAAAAGACTATATTCCATGTTTTTATGGAAAATCATATAAAAAATAAATAAGCCGTGCTTATGAGCTTAGACCCGAAAAATTAGAACCCCAAAACATGTCTATAAATTTGCCATATTAAGTTCATGGTGTTGAAATAAAATAATTCTTTCATTGTTCTATCTGTAAGTAAGAGGTTGTTTTTCCAAAGTACTGCGGCTTCTGAGATGTGGTATTATGTACACTATTTACATTATTCGGATTATTGTCCTTATCTTTGTCGCCATATTTATTACAACGTTGTTCGATCCGGCCTTCTTCAGGTGGTTGGAATGTCGAACTGAACCCTTTATTTCCCTCACTGGGGTAGACTGTTCTAGTTCCACCTGACCTGTTTAATGGATGAGCTCCAGTAAAAACATGCAATGATAGCAGCAATAATTACAATATGAGCACTGGTAAAAATAGTTACTGAAGACATTAGGTTTATAATACCCAGAAATTTATGCACAAATGCCCTCAAGGGCACATGGCACAGTGGATAAAGACATTGGTTAAATCCAGTGACAGGACCCAACGAATGTGGGTTAAATACCCGGTTAAGGCAGTGGAATTAATAGGATATAACTGATATCTAAGGTACGTGGAACTAGAACTGTCATTGAGCGAAATAAAGGGTTCAGTTGGACATTCCAAACACCTGAAGAAGGCTTGAGTGAAACGTTGTAATAAATATGGCGACAAAGAATAATGTAAATAGTATTCACCTCCTATTTATAATCTTTACCTCATTCAGTAGGTGTTTAACTTGAGTGACACTCAAATTTTACATTCGCTGATCATTAAAAAGAACAGAGGTATGTTTGGGAAATTTGGTCACGTTGACCATATCTATTGGTATACAGATAAGCAAAATGCCCTCAGGGTCCTGATATTTACTGCCATGATTGCTGGGGTTTAAGCTGAAAGAAGTGACTGTTATTGGTCTATCTTCCTCATGCGTAAGTCATCAATATATAATAAGTTATTCACACCAGTTAACAATAGATACTTGGATTAAATTTAAACTAGTTAATGTCCTTTGGGTTACCCCAAAATAGAAAAATATAATAAACCATGCTATTTCGTTTTGTTGTCGATCTCAGTCAATCAAAATCTACTTAATTCCTGAAATTCTGTTTCTTTCAGCCTATTCTCCTCTTTTTACGTGCCATGATCTTTCAGGACGTAGGCGATCATGGCTTTACACCTCCCTTTATCCTTTGCAACTCCCAACAAGTTCCTTCCCACTTCCTCTGCTACGTTCTGTCATCCACTTGCTTAAGCCCGCTAGGTATGCCATACGTTGCTTTCCCTTGTCTCTTTCTCTCTATTCGACCCGTGAGTATCAGATTCTCCAGGCCCTCCTTCCTCATTATGTGTCCCAGAAACTTCAGCTACCTCTTCCTGATGTTAAGTATAAGACTCCTCCTTGTTTGCAAACTCTCTAAGACCTCATCGTTGCTCACACGCTCGAGTCTCTTCATCTTTAAGTAAATCGTCCAAAAGTCGCAGCCGTAAAGAAGGACAGATGTCACGTAACAGCTCAGTATTCTTTTATTTGTTACAAAAGAAAACCTCCTGTCTTGCAATTGTCTGCATCATTGCGCATTCCAATACGTCTATGGATCTCAGTGTCGCACTTACCGTCCTCTGTCAAAACGCTTCTCAGATATTTAAACTTCTGCGTCTGCTTGATTCTAGTGTTCCCGACCAGCAAATCGCATTCCGGCTCATGCTCTTACTGATGACCATGCATTCTGTCTTGTAGTTTAGGCTTAGTTCCTTCTTCTCACTCAGTCGCTACCTTCCCTTGCGCAGCATCTAGCAGTAGGACTTTGTGGATAATGTCCTACTTACTGCGTCGACAATGTCCTGGGAAACATGCCTGGTCTCTGATATGGTGGTTGATATTCTTAATAAATGACCATAGAAGATAGCGTTGGTGGCGTACTGACGGCATTTGTAATTTTGTGTACTATTTACATTGTTCGGTCTATTGGCCTCATCTTTATCGTCATATTCATGACATTTCGGCCGCTTCAGTATTCGTCAGGCGAAATACGCTGGAATTTCGAACCGAAGCCTTTATTTCGTGCAGCGGAGTAGATTGTTCTAGTTCCACGTGCCATGCCTTTTCGGGATATTTTGGTTTCAGTTATTTCCCTTTTAGTAACTCAACTTTCCAAGTATTTTTCACCTCTGCTGCGGCCAGTTATTGAATCACAACTCTTTGGGTCAAGTCACTACATTAATTCAATCAGAGCTTTTATCCACTGAGCCATGTGTCCCCAAATTCCAACGGATATCATCTGAAGAATGCCGGAGTGAAACGTCGTGAATAAAATAATAAAGATGAGGACAATTTTCCGAACAATGTAAATAGTGTAAGTAGTTGAAATACCTCATCTTAGAATTATAGAAAGACTAGCAGCATGGCCCGGCGTTGCCCGTGCTTGATTCAAAAATCGTACGACTCATACAGCAATTGCTATCACTTGACTTAAAATATTTTTGCCCTTCCTTGCCTTTAAAGGAGTGCTCTTTGCCGTGCTGATGTTGATACATGCCTTACTTCTTGCCTATCTCACACTGCGAATATTTTCTAAGCTCTATACTAAACATTAAATCTGTTACGAAAAAAGAACTAAACAAAATGAACACAAAACGATCACCTTTAAAAAAAGGACTCGTAACTGGAAAAACCGAATGAAAAATGAATGTTAACAACAAATACTTTTTTACACATAATCCAGTTCTGTGGAATCAGAATCAACGTTGAGTTTAAGAAAGCGAATGAGCCAATTGGAGTAAAGTGCCATGCAGATTTAAAATTTTCCCACTTGGGACGAATGCAGCAATCGATTTTTTTGCATGCTAGCATGCTAGTTAACATTCGTACCATCAGCTGTTGACCCTCACGCTAGCCAATAGAATCTTCCTGCCTATTCGTGGCAGTCAGCTATTGGCTCTCACTCTGGCCAGTAGAAAATGGCCGCAAACTACATGAAAACTACCGTAGAAGCATGAAAAAATCGATTATTTTCACAATCGATGGGAGTTGGGAAATGCAAATCGATCTTGGCCTTTCCCGCTAACTTGGAGCATGTGCATGTAAATTTTGCTGCAAATCCGTCGAAAATTGCGACCGTGCATTCGTTACACACAAAGACATCCTGCCTTTTATAGATAGAGATACTGTAAGCATCTTTGTGTAGGAACTATCTAGCGTTTTACTTAAGGAATCGTGAATCGATGTATCTGTAAAGTACAACTGTCTTTAAACCTTCTGTAAGTAACTTAATTTGGATGTGGCTCTGCAGCTATGAATTTCGCACTGAGTTCATCTTTTCCCGTGCAGTATATGCTTTTGCATTATTGATTTCCAAGTCGTTCTCATTCGAGCTTATCTACGCCCCATGCTACAGAAAGTCATTGAATTTCCTAAACTGTCCCCCGTCGAGGGTTCAGTGTGCTTAAAACGATCACTTCCTGGTTTTATGCCATGAACTTAGTTTTTCACACATTAATATGAAGAACATTTGGCCTCACCCCTGCACTTAACAGATGTTCAAAAGCCTCACATAAGGTGTTAAAGATGAGGGCAATGTGGTCAGCAAAGACCGCGCCGCAAATAACCGACGCAGGTGGGTGTGTGCACTTCACATTCATTCATGAGAATAAAAGCTTCTCCTCATCTACTGTGAATTATCTTATTGCGTAACCAAAGATAATGATGAAAAGATATGTTGAAAGTGTATATCCTTGAAGAGAACGGGTGAAGAATTCTAAAGAATTCGGTTTCCTCATCTCTCAGAGCACTTTGGTTTCTGTGTTAGCGTAGAGGACATAAAACCAATCGCAAATAGATGAATTAATTGCACTATTCGATCGGATTCTCTTAGAGATTGTTAATGTTCAATATGTTTTTCGTTATTAAAAATACGCCTATTGATGCGAGAGCCTCTTGATTTTGTCTAAACTCAGATTAGAGCAACCTCTTTGTATACTCTCAGTGATGCGATTCCTAATTAGTACAGATATGTTTTTTTAGTTAATCTTGAATAATATAATCTGAGAAATCCGTTATTCTGGAATGCTTACGGTTATGTTACATTGAAACACCGGTACTCGTAAGATCACTGAAGATAAGTAATTTAGAACCTTGTCAGTACGTGGATGGGTGACTGCCTGGGAATACCAGGTGCTATAAGCTTACGTGTGTTGGGCAGTTTAATGGATAATGGCTCGGAATAGTTAATCAGAGAGCCGAGTTCCAATTCCAGTTGGTTTCGTCACGCGCAAATACGTTTGAAAAGATATAAATTCACCATTTTCCCCCAGATATGGGTTAATTACTTAGACTTATACCACTAAATGATTATTTTCTCCCAAAAATTCAGCCGTAAAAGACTGATCATCAAAACAATTACCATGAAAGTGTTTAGAGAAAAGTCACAGGAAATCTACATTACGGCAATGGGAAAAGGATTGAAGCCTGGATGCCAGGTCAGGACTAGTAACATTGCGTATGCTTGTTTGGATTTTATAAAGAATCTCTAAATATATAGCAGGTGCATCAGAACAGATTTGGCAGCAATATTCGAATCCTAGACATATGGTAGACAAAGACTGTCTAGTAAGACACAGTGGACCAACTATCTTACCAGCAGACATAGGAAATGATTCGATATAATCTTTCCATTCATGTTTGCAGTGAACATTAACCCATTAAACCTCAATGGTTCGCTCTCGTGGAGTATAGCGCAAACCATTTTGATTGATGGCAGAAAGGTGTTTCTCAGATGATAATATAAACCAGTTGTGTGTTCCTAGGCGTTAAAATTAACAAACCATTCACTGCCTCGGGTAACAGTAGATTTTAGTTCACATTTGATATCTCCTGTCGATTTGGCCTTATCGATTCGATTAATTATTACAACAGGATTAAATAGTTGCGTCATCAGTATAAAAAACTGAGACGAGAAATGATCAGACAATACAGTAGAATCCCTGACAACCGGACTAAGAAGTCATTCCGGATATGAGGATTTGGTTACAAAGTCCGGTTATGCGGGGTTATATTTAGATTAAACTAAAGGAACTAAAATCTGGTATGACATCTATTTGCAATGTTTTATAGGAAACAATATAAGCTAATGGTGAGTGAAATATAACGGAATTGATTTTAAAGAAAAATGAAATAAATTATTTAATGTTAATTAAAATTCATTAAATTAAGTATGCCACGTATGCAAAAGAAATACTATAATGACGATTTTTTTAATTGTTGTTGCTTGATGATTCTTTCTCTTCTAATGTCATTCTCAACGTTTTCTGCATTTTGTTTTGCTTTTGTTCTTGACATTTTTTAAACGAAAGACGCTTTTTAACTCTGCGTTATTGCAATCGTCATAGCTGAATGCTGGCTTTCTTTCCATAAAACTGACAACCTTTTCAATAGCTTTTTCATGTCCTTGTTTATTTTTTTTCATTGTAACTGTGAACGATGGAGAATAGTTTATTTGGATGATTTTATATCATACGAAATTGACTTTCCTGTGTTGAACTCAGCCATGAGTTACAATGAAGTTTTACCAGTGTCTAGTCTTTTTAAAAATTCCACTTTTTGCGATAACTCCAAAGTTGTTTTTTTTTCTCATATTCCCATCATATTTTGTACGAATACAAGCCATTAGGGTGAAATAAGCATAAACAATTATCCAAAGTAAATTTCTTGAAAAACAAATTTCAGATTAGTTACATATCACCCAAATAGTTCAAATATACACATCAAAATCTTGTCCGAATATGCGGTATTCCGGATATGAGGGATTCTCGATATGGGGCATTCTATTATATTAGATAGAAGCAGAAACGAAAAGGATTAATGGTTCAGCTGAAAGTGAATCTGTGACTTGAAATATTTACTAAGTTCAAAAAACTGAATCTGGTTAGATGACCAAAGTACACACAAGAATTTTTACAAAAAATTATATTCAGTATAATTTCTGTTAGGATTTTGTAGAATTTAGTTAGACAAACGGACAGAACTCAAACTGTATTGGAAGTTGAGTGTACTCTGGCAAATTAGATTTATTGTATATGAAATACAATTTTGGCACAAGGCCTAAAAGTGGAGAATGGGTTGAGGCTGGTCGTCACTTACTATACTGTACCTAGCTAATCCGATTCACGACCCATTTATTCATTACAATTTGCACATCCACCACAAGAACTTATCCATCATCCTAAAATCATCCATGTATAAAAATACCTCATACTTTCAGGAAACCTAAAAAGATACCCCATGACATAAAAAAATTATTGACTATAAAATTCTCAACATAAAAATCTATAAATGATATACAATGGGCGGGGAGAGGATAAATCCCAAAACAAATGAAATAGAGAACTGATGTTAGTTGAGCCCGTAATATAATTAACCCATAGGTGGGGGAAAAGTTGTGGATTCATATCTTTCCCAATGATTTTGCGCGGGAGGAAACCAACTGGAATTGGAACTTGCCTCTCTGATTAACAATTCCTAGCCATTATCCATTAAACCGCCCCACACATCCAAGCTTACACCACCTGGTATTCCCAAGCAGTCACCCATGCAAGTACTGACCAGGTCCTATGTTACTTAACTTCAGTGGTCGTACAAGTATCGGTGTTTCCTCGTAATATGACCGTAAGCATACCAGCATAACGGATTTATTAGGTTATATTATTCAAGATTAAGTAGAAAAGATATCTGTACTACTTAGGAATCGTATCACTGGGTTTATTCAGAAAGGTCGCTATGCTCTGACTTTAGACAAAGTCAAGAGGCTCTCTAACTCTGGGAGAGGGAAAGGATAAAATAAATACGACCACGGACGAAAGAAAAAGCTGATCCAAAAGAAATGAAAAAGAAAATGGACGAAAAAAATACTGGGGAGTTTGGGAATCTCGATGTGGATCATAACCAAAGTCGAAGCCAGGATCAAATCGGGAGTGACACTTACATTAACTTGGTACACAAAAAAGGTCTATCCTAACCAGGGGAGGGATTCATAGGAAACCACCCCGTGCGACTTAAATGGATCTAAAAAATCAAATCAAAGCTAGACCCGTTCACGTGAACCAGGCTCGCCTCAGCCACCCAACTTTCGCTGAAATCTGTCGAAACCAATCGCTTCAAATCAGTTGTAATCTTCATCTTGAGCTGATGCTGAAAAATCGGTTGAGATCCTGATGAGAATACCGGTCACCTTGGGAGGGGGAATATCATTTTTGATTCTTCAGGTTGCTGACAGTCAAAAGACGTGTTAGAGTTTCAAGAGTACAATTGGAAATCGTAAATTCAAACAAACTGGGTCGGTGACTGATGTGAAAGCACTACTGCGTGTTCGTTTACGCCATTCAGCTGAAAGCATTGCTGCAGTGCACGAGAATGTGTCCGAACAACCGGACACCTCTATTCGTCACCACGCGCAGAAATTGAAACTCTCCACAACAACGTTACATCTTTTCCAACTGCACAATATAAAAAAAAATCGCAAAGTGGCGAATAGGCTTCGATAACTTTCACACTTTGTTTGATTGTTAACCATTCCATAGTTGAAATTGCCAAAGACGTAAGTTATTAAATCTGAAAGAAAAAGAAAAAAATATTTAGACGCTTAAAAATTATTCATATTTAAAATTCGGTCCAAGTTATTGGAACACCCTTTAGTAACATCTGCATTAAAATTGTTATACAGAATATGCACTAAAATAATGTCCACAATTTATTTCCATGAAAACTAAATTATATACAAATTCAAAATAGCACAGTTGTATATAGCACATTTTCTTGCTAAAAATGATTATTTTACAACTAAGTCAATAACATTAGATATAGCTTTTCACCAGTGATAAACAATAACATGAAGGTCACGTTCTTAAAACCCGATACAAGAAAACCCTACAACTATGTTCATATCCACTATTTGGTCTCTTCAAATGATAAGCAAGCGTGGATTAAAGCCAGGCCCATGGATGGAATTTATTATGGAGGGACTAAATGATAACTCTGTTTTGTCCACATTTTTCCAACAAAGATGAAGGACAACAGTCCAAATATACACAGTGTAAATAGTGTAAAAGATGACTTCCCAAGTAGGCATTTATGCAGATGACACTACCATTTACTCCTGTCTCAATAGTAAATCCGGCAGCGCTGACAGAGTTAAACTGGCCGCTGATCTCGAAATGGACCTCCACTCAATGGTTAACTGGGACAGAAAATGGTTTTTAAATTTTAATGTCTCCAAAACTAAACTGCTCTCATTTAAGCACTTTAGTGAAACTCCTTGCCCTACCATCTGCCTGGTTGATACTCGACTCCAGGAGAGCATCTTACTGCGCCGTCTTGACCTCAAGTTTTCGATTGACTTGAGGTAGAACAACTACATTGAATCAACAGCTACATCTACTGCAATGAAGTTGGTTCTCTTTGCACACCTAAAAGTCTACCATTCTTTCATATCTCGACTCGCGCCTCTTCTGTTCATCTCGAGGTTCTTGACAAAATCCAAAGAAGCATCTGTAATTTAATCGATCCTGATCTGGAATCTCGAGTTTTCTCGACATTTTCTCACAGACGTGACGTGGCTTCCTTTTTTTATACAAATATTTTCATTACAACTGGTCTAACAAATATTTCTTCCCTGGTGCACAGACTAAATGAATTTAAGCGTGCTACAAGAGTGGCGTCTACCTTCCACCCTTTTACCGTTGAAAAGATTAAATGTACCCGCCACTATTGCAAGAGTTTCGGTTCTTGCTCTTCCCGTCTGTGGAACTCCATTCCTCTTGCTTGCCTTCCTGATTACGACAATCTTCAAAAATGTAAACCACCATCTTCTGTTGACTTGAACCCCGTTCAAGTTTTATCCTTTGCTCAATCCAACCTATACCCAGTCTGTTCATTTATTTTCACTCTCTGTAATCCCCTGCGTGATGGTGCTACTCCCACCTTACCTGGGGTGAAATAGTTAAACAAATGTTATTTTATTAAATGTCCGAAATGCCATATGTCTGACTAAAAGCAAGAGTTACTAAATTCCTAAATCCAGGAATTCAGACATAAATAAACTTTCATTTGAATAGACTCGTATCCTTTAATGTAAAACATTCATTACAGTAATTTATTGTAACAGTACATAAACTGTTTTGATACTATGCCCTTTCGTCGCATGGTGATAATGACTCTTCACAACGTTACCATCAAGACTAATGCTTCTGGGATTCATTCATAAAAACTCGCTGTTTCTATTTAGTTTACTTGCATTCTGTGTGTTCTGTGAGTTTTAGAGTCTCCAGGCATTCTATGGTTCCCGGATTTTCTTTGGAATTCCTATTTTCCTTAAAACTACCTTATTACTCATATATACTGTTCATAGCATTTTCAGGATCCGTCGGTAGAACTAAATCACTTTCGTTTCCCTTCTCATTCTTATTGTAAGTATACATTGTTTGTAATTCCTATTTTCCTTAAAACTAACTTATTACTCATATATACTGTTTATGGCATTTTCAGGATTCGTCGGTAGAACTATACACTTTCGTTTCCATTCTCATTCTGATTGTAAGTATACATTTTTTGTAGTACCTATTTTCCTTAAAACTTCCTTACTACTCACATATTCTCATTATTGCATTCTCACGATTCGTCTGTTTCCATTTTCATTCTGATGTTAATTACAAATTTTCTTGTAATTTCTATTTTTCTTAAGACTTGCTCGTTACTCAGATATTTTTGCGTTCCTGTCTGGGAATACAGGTACAAAATGAAGAACTTCTAAATATGTGTGCATCAACCATCATTCGAAAATACACATGGAAATCTACAGGCCTAAATAACATGGAAATTTGAACAATTGACACGTGCGTGATTATCAGCATCATTATATTGAGAAACACCTACCATCTTCAGAGATCCATTTACATGAAATTCCGAGAAGGTGGCCATTTGCAACGATTCCATCAGGGTTTTAGACCGATTACTTCAAGATACTGCGGCAAATTTTCGACCAAATCTGATTTTCCCCAATCACAGTCACCGGAATAGAAATTGTCGACACGGTTGCAACTCAGCGTGCAACCAGTAAAATCATCTTATCACTTCTTGGATCAACGACCATTTATTTTACTTATCGCCTCCGATAAACGCCGGGGAATAACTGCGCACGTGTTACCGCGGGTCGAGTTTAATCGAATCACGTCGATGCACTCACGTTTTACATATAATCTATGTTGTCATTCAATTTGATTTTCCAACCTTGTTCACTGTATCTCTGAATTTATATAATACTAAAACACACACACACACACACACATATATATATGTGTGTGTGTGTGTGTGTATATATATATATACACATACATGCAAGTGTCATTAAAAACGAAGATACTGCGGTTAACTTTTTTATCTAATTTTTCTTGTATTATTATTATGTTTCTTTTTTACTAGACATAAATGATGTCGAAAATTTCCGAATATTCTGTATGTTCAAGAGTTTTTGGCTGTAATTTTAGCTATGGTCAAGATTATTTTATTTTTATTTTTACTGAATGTGTAGTTTTTGTTTTTATATATATATCTATTAGTTCATCCCATAAGTTCTGTCCGAATTTTGAATAAAGAAAACAAGTGACCAAATGTTACATTTAATTACAGATTCAATCAACTATGTATTTACCCTGATTATCTAAGACTTCCTTCCATCTATTAACAAGCTTACTAATTCCATTACTGTAAAATTATTTTGGCTTTGATTCGAAGTACTTACAAATGTCAGTTTTAAACTCTTCCTGTGTTACAAAAGTTGTTTCTTCCAAATGATTCTGTAAGCTACGAAACAAATGGTAGTCTGAAAGGGCAAGTTCGGGAGAATAAGGCGGATGAGGAATTTTCTCCCAACCAAGTTCTTCGATCTTTTGTGACGTGATTCTTGCTGTGTGACGTCGCGCATTGTCCTGATGAAACATCACCTATTTTCGATTCACTAGAACAGGTGTTTTTTCCGCGAAGCTTGGTTCAAACGCTCTAATTGCTGACAGTATATTTGAGCATTAATTATTGCATTAGGTGGTAAGAATTCAAAGTGGATTATTCCTTGGCGATCCTATCAGATTGAAAGAAGAGCCTTTTGCCCATGAAGTTCCCTTCTCAGCTGTGTCTGGGGTCCTTCCCCTTTACCAAGCCACTCTCTACGACGCTTAACATTTCGATAAAAGATCCATTTTTCGTCGCCAGTCAAAAGTCTATCCAAAAAGGTGAAACAAGTTGGCGAGAATGGAGAGAAGAGCAGATGTCAACTCGGGATTTGAGGTTGTTTTCTTTCAGACAATTCATGAGGCACCCATTTTCCAAGTTTAGGAACTTTTCCAAGTTGTTGAAGATTGAACAGTTGTATGGTTTTAAGAACTGATAAAGCAGGATTTTCTTCAAGGGTGTGCAAGAAGCTTTACATCAAACTCAACTGGACGTCCGGTTCGATCTTCATCTTCAAGGGTGAAATCACCTCTGAATTTTGCAAACCATCTTCTGGTTCTTTCATTCAACATTCCTCTCCATTTGAATGTTTCTACCGTGCTGAGTTTCCTTCTTGAACTTGAAAGCAATGTGCAAATGACGTTACATTGTTTTGTTAAACAAAATTTAAAT